TTCGGCCATTGTACGCTCCGGCCTTCTTTCGTCCGCTGGGGTAGATTGTTCTAGTTCTAGTTTCCCAGTTTCAGTTATTTCCCTTAAGGAATCAGCGTATATGCTAGGCCACAAAAATCTATGGCGGCCAAGCATAGACATGAATACAATATGGGAACCAGTAATATAGCCTGCTAGAGAAAAACTATAATAATAACAAATTGCAATATGAGCTCTAGTAAAAAAAAAAAAAAAGGTTTACTGAGACATTACGTTTAAATTCCCCAAAATTCATAGACTGATGTCCACAAGGGTACATGGCCCAGTCAATAAAAGCGTTCGTTGAAGTAATCAAGTGACTTGACCCAAAGAAACTGAGATATCCAGAAGAGGCATGGCACGTGGAACTCGAACAATCTACCCCGGCGGACGAAAGAAGACCGGTGCGTACAATGGTCGAAATGTCGTGAATATGACAACAAAGATGAGAACAACAGTATGAACAATGTATATATACTGTAAATAGTTACAATAACTCATCTCAGAAATATAAACATCCTGAAGAAGGCCGGAGCGTACAACGGCCGAAATGTTGTGATTATGACAATAATGATGAGGGCAACATCCGAACATTTTAAATAGTCTGAATACATAAATATATTCATTTTAGCACTCTACGTCCATTTGCTTATATACACACAACTCTATACGCACACTATGATTTATACACACTTGTATGTACTAAACAAATGAAAGTCAGACAAGGGGAATGAGGGTTCATGTTCTCATAGAGCGACACATCTCGAAAACTATACATTGTAACTTCCAAGGCCTGTGGAAAATTAATGGTCCGTCTTTATATTTTAACAATCAAACACGAAATCAAAACATTATTCAATAACGCGAAAAAAAGTTTTGAAACCAAGCCTTCTACGTTTAATCTCAGCCCACACTCAAAAGGTCACCTTCCGGGTGGATACTCGCAAACTCAGATACCAACCGGAACTATGTCAATGATCCGAGTACAAACCGGATGTTTTGATTGTAGTATAAACAGGAAGTGCCTTTTCCTACCTTTCTTTATTATCATGTAAACCGGAACTATTTACCGTTGGATTCAAGTACAAACCGGACATTTTGCCATTAAACAGGATCTAGCTTTTTTTTTTTTTTTACCTTTTTGATTAACGTATAAACTGCAATTATATCTACCTATTTATTAGTGTGATTTTTGCCTTTTAAGACTTAATAGTTAACATTAAATAATTTAAGCATGTTTGATATGTTGTTAAATTAACTGACGTATCCTGACAATTCTTTACGGAATCATAGACGCTTAATATATATATATATAAAAAAGACCATTAAACAACACAACAGACTGGAACATAACAGAGACATGATGAAGGCCGAAATGTATTCGGTCGAAACGCTATGAAACAAAAAGAGAAAATTGATCCGAAAAAAAAATAGAATGATTTTTTTTACAGTGATATTTATCGTGTATAATACCCCGGGGTGGGGGCTACTCGAGGCAAAGGGTTACAAAGCTAGAGGCACAGTTTATGCAACCCTAGACGCGAACATGTAAAGATTGTAGTGATCGGAGAAGCAAGGTCTTAGGAGTCGGTTCCACATCTCCCCAATGGAATGCGAAGTGAATGAGGGTGGCTCGCTACAATGGGCGTGGCATGGCGAGTCTTAGCCGTGGAGATAAGAACAGACAGAACAAAGAAATGTAGTTCGTCTGAGCACTTTCTATAGAAATAGCGATAGAGCAGCGAGAGACTTGTGATGTTTTGTCTGTGGAAAAGGGATTGTCGGGTAGGAATTCATCACCCACAAGGACGCTGTGAAATACATTCGCTTCATTATCAAAGAAAAAACAAAACAAAATACAACTTTATCCTAAAATGTGTTCGATACGCCAACAAAAGAGTTGATATTCACCCTATACAAGGCCCGAGCGCCACTCGATATAGAGTATTAATGAGTAATAGGCACGGCGACTTCTCGCCTGTGGGACTCTCTTCCGGCTTCTTGCTTCCCAGTCAACATTGATCTTCAAAAATTTAAATACTTTATCTTCTGCTATCTTGAAGTGTTCGACAATGATTGCCTTCGCTGCATTCTACGATGCCGTCGAATCGATCGTGTGCCCACAGCCACTCTACGTCGTCGCCTGAGTCTCCGTCCTCTTCCACCCGTCCTGCTCCGGCATTGTCTCCGATGGTTTGAGCACGCCTTTCGACGCCCGGAGGGAGAGCTCATCCGGGATGTACTTCTCCCTCCTTCTCTTCCTGGCTGGCGAAAACGTGTCGGTGGGCAGCTGAGGACGTGGGCTAGCACAATCAAGGATGACCTAGTAGTACTATCGGGTCCACAAGTAGTTGGACTTCGACGATGGAATCGCGATTGGCTCGTCATTTCGTGTGACCTGGCTCAGGATCGGCGATGGTCCGTGATGCTCTACTTGCTCGGGTGGAAGCCGGTTCAACTCGACCAGGGTGAAAACCGATACAAGTCAAGTCAAAGTCACGTGCTATCTTGATTGCTGTTCCTTTATTGTTCTCCCTACATAATACAATTTTTCCTCATATTGTCAAACACTTAATAACCGTTTTGCGTCTGAGTGGCTTTATAGCGTTTCTTGGGGTGTGATGATTAAACAAATATTTGTTGAATATCAATTCGATCATGTTTGCAAAAAAAGCAAAAAAAAAAAAAGAAGCAAAATAAAGAAAGGCTTCTTTGCTTCTTATGCCGACATCGAGAAATGAACACAGTATCAGAATTTAATGTCTCCTTGCTCACGTATATTGACTATTGTTTCTATACCACTGCACGATCTTTTCTTTTTTTTTAACCTAAAGTTTTATTTTATTTAATAATCTAAATATTCCGTCTATGCTAAAGTCGAAAAAATTATCACGAATTAACCTTCAAACGTGTCTTGGGCGAAATATCAAAGAGACAGTCGGTCAGTGTGCTTTCGTCTGCAGAACACACACGGAAAATGAGCTGACAGTAAATCCGTATACACGTACATACGCACGCATAAAGGTGTGCCTACTGTAGAGCTGCGATTTCCGCTGACATGAATTGGAAAGATTATATTGCATCAATTGCTAGGTCTGCGTTAAGAAAGCGTGTTAACTGTATTGTGTTAGACAGTCTTTCTCGCTAAAATCTATCTGACACATTTATAAGACTACCATCTGTCCATGAATTGAATATTAGTGACACATCTTGTCTGATGCTTCTGCTTTGTATTTAGAGATTCTTGATAAAATACAAAGAAGATTCTGCAATGTTATTTGTCCTGACCTGGCATCTTGACTTCATTCAATTCCCATCACTGTAACTTAGCTCCTCTGTGTCTTTTCTATAAATATTGTTATGGTAATTGTTCTGTTGAACTTTCCGCTATGGTACATAGACATTATGAATTTAAGGGAAGTATAGGATTAGCAAAAGGATCTCATCATTTTACAGCAAGATGAAACCTTAAGTTCTAGGCCAACAGTTTTTTCTCTCACACTTCACGTTTGTGGGACACATTTGCGGCTTCTCCGTCTACTTTAAAAAATTTCAATGCAATGTCAATCGTTATCTTCTGTCTTCTTAATTCCTCTTCTTTTATTGTCCTTTCCCCTCACTAAAGTCTTCTAATTCGCTTTCACTCTTCTTACTTTTCAGATTGCCGTTTAATAACTTTAGGAAAGTCATGAATTTATTTCTTTTTCCTCAAGCTATGGTTTTTTTGTCATCATTTCACCCCAAGCAAGGCAACTAAGCCGCTGTGACACAAGAGGTTACTGAGTATTAAAAGATATGAGAAAAACTCCTATTAAGAAGAGAGGACAATAAATGAACAAGAATTAAGAAGATAGAAGAGAGAATTGCGATAGAAGAATCTGTTAACATAGAACTTACGGTTGCATCTAGCCATTTCAACTGTAAAATGGTGAGATCTTGCCGCAAATATAGTACTGTGCTTAAATTCATAATGCCTAGGTACCCAGGAGGAAAGTTCATCTGATACTTACAGATAATAATATCTAACATTAAAAAAAATGTTTTGATAATTCATTATCTGGACGTAAAAAAGAAAAGAAAAAGTAAAGAGAAAGAAAAGGAGAAAAGAAAAAACGAAAAGGAAAAGAAAAGGAAAATAAAAGAAGAAAAGAAAAAGAGAAAAGAAAAAAAACAAAAAGTAAAGAAAAGAAAAAGAAAAGGAAAAGAAAAGAGAAAGAAAAGAAAAAAGAAAAAGAAAACGAAAAGAAAAGAAAAAGAAAAGAAAAAAGAAAAAGAAAAGGAAAGGAAAGGAAAAGAAAAGAAGAGAAAAAGAAAAGAAAAAGAAAAAAGAAGAAGAAAAGAAAAAGAAAAGAGAAAGAAAAGAATAAAGTAAAAGAAAAAGAAAAGAGAAAAAGAAAAGGTAAAGAAAAAGAAAAGAAAAACGAAAAAGAAAAGAAAAAAGAAAAAGAAAAGAGAAAAAGAAAAGAAAAAGAAAAGAAGAAAAGAAAAAGAAAAGAATAAAGTAAAAGAAAAAGAAAAACGAAAAAGAAAAGAGAAAAAGAAAAGGAAAAGAAAAAGAAAAGGCAAAGAAAAAGAAAGAAGAAAAGGAAAAGAAAAGAGAAGAAAAGAAAAGAGAAAAAGAATAGAAAAAGTAAAAGAAAAGGAAAAGAAAAAAGAAGTAAAAGAAAAGAAAAGAAAAAAAAAAAAAAAAATAATGCAGTCTCTTTATTTACGTCATGTCATTACAGGCTCGAATACCGTGTTTTTTGTTTTGTTTGTTTTTGAAGATCTCTGTCATAGACAAAAAAAAAAAAACGTTCAAAGACATTGGGTTAACGTCTCATGAATTCATGCATATCCGGCTTTGAATGCTTTCAGAAATTTTCAAATATTCGAACGGGTAAAAATCTTTTCGAACGAAAGGTGATTTGATTGGCTGATAAAAAAAAAAAAAACGTTTTTTTTTTGTTTTGTTTTTTAAGTGAGTGTCTTTCTTCGCGATAATGTTGGCTGTTTTCTTTATTATTTCTTTTAATCAGCAGCGACACAGCTTCCTTCATCAGGTACATAGCCAGGAAAACAAACAAATATAAAAGTGGCTACTCCTTTAAGAAAAGACTGATATCTGGTAATAATATTAACTTCATTATATTTCTTAGATAAATAAATACTTTTTAGATTTATTTTTTGTGCAGTAGGTTCACCCTGGGCAAAGCCCGGTGGGTGGGGGCACTCAAAGTATTGTGTTCAGTTAAGGAGTAGTTTATATGGATAAGAGGGGAAGATAACGGTAAACCCTAGACTTGAACAGGTTAAGATTGTAGTGATCGGGGAAAGCATCCTCTTGGGAGTCTGTTCTACAGAACAGTAGTTCGCAGGAAGAAGCTGTTCGAGTGGAACTTACTTCTTGCCGATGGAATACGGGGGGGAATAAGGGTGGTTTGCTACGATGTAAGTGGCACTTTCGGCTGTCTCTTCCTGTTGTTATACTTAACAACAGGAAGAGACAGCCGAAAGTCTCATTTTTGTTTCCATTTTTTTTAAACCTCACCTTTGATCACACTTTCAGTTTTCTAGTGCGTAGTGAATCCGTCACAATTTACAATTTCCCATAGCGCTCATTGTTTTTGTTCTGTAGGAATGTAAAAGGTAATTATCTCCCTTTGGTGGCGATGAAGTTACGTGGGTCACACGACGGCCGTTTAGTAACGGCACTTCATACAGTGACGAAAGTGGCAATGAGTCAGCTTCCAGGAGTCAAACCAAGGCGCCTGGGCTGAGACTAAACCTGTCTTCCCCAGCGGCTTACAAGTCCTTGGCGCCGTTTTCCTATGGAAATATATCTTCACCAGATATAAAAAAAAAAAAAAAATATCCCCGGTTCGCTGTCCTTAATTTGGAAAAAAAAACCCCCCAAAAACAGAGGACTCGTTTTCCGTTTGCAGAATATGTCCTCGCTAGTGACATAGCAGATAAATCCGACCCACACGAATTTGGAATTCTAAATATGGCTTCTCCATAAACAGAAGTATCTCCAGCAGCTCCAATTACCGTTGGGGATTATTGCGCGTAAGACTATACTTTTGTTCTCATTTCGCTCCGCTTGTTGAGTAGATTTATGTTATATTTTCTCTGCGTGAGACACATTTATTATATATATATATATATATATATATATATATATATATAATTTTGTGTATGACTTTCCCGTAGTAGGTTGCCATTTCTTTCTGTGGTAGACCTGTTGCCATCCAAGGATATAGAATGCAGTCTGTCCTGCTAGTGTCTGTTTTCTCTTCTCGCTTGACCGAACTTGCTCTTGTGTATCAATCCCAATTCTTAGTTTGTCAACTTTTTGCCATATTACCGTTGCTTTGCCTTATTACTGTTAATTTGCCTTACATATATTCTTTGTTTGCTTTATAGGATTTTTGCCCGGTTCTTTTCTTTTTCTTGTTCAATTCTGTTTGTTGGAGAGTTCTGTTACTTATTTTGCATTTGACCAAAGAATATTAACTCCATAGATATTTTAAATGTTTTCTTCAAACAATCAGATTTTCCGAAAATGAATTGAGACGCATATAGTCGAGTAAATATTTAATGCAACAAAGCCATTCACACGTGGGTGTGTTCATTGAGAAAAGGTGCCAGAAAAATAAAAGTTTGGAAAATTTATTCAAGATTATTTGAAATTTCAAAACCTTTGAAGATGAAACTCATTAGCGATATTTTAATGTATCTAACCTCAGTAAATATAGTCGACAGTCCTTTTTATGATATAGTCCACAAAATCCTTTTTTAAATCTGTGGCATATATGCAGAATGTGACGATACATATGGTTAATATAAAGGAAAGGAAAACATGAATTGTCCAGGGTAAATAAAAAATAAGATTAAACACACACACACACACACACACACACACACACACACACACACACACACACACATATATATATATATATATATATATATATATATATATTTTATGGTCTGTTTTTATTCAAATGTAAATATATATAAAAAATAGACTAAATAATTTAGATAAAAATATTTAAATAAATTTGTTTTTATTACATGGAACCTTAAAGGGTCTGTTTTTATTTAATATATATATATATATATATATATATATATATATTTGTGCATTGTTCTTTTCTTTAAAATTACATTTTAATATTTTTAATATTGTTTTCCAACCTCTACTGGAATGGCTTCAAAATTTACTCCTCCACATTTTAATAAGCAATTCATTTTTCTAAAATAAAATAGGCCGGTTCTCAAGATTCATCTTAATTCTCATCTATTTACGTTGTGTGTCAATGCAATTATTAGTCTGTAAACGTTTTTGCCATATTTGTCCTTATTACTGTTAATTTGCCTTTGCATTTTATTGTTTTGCTTGATTTTTGCCTGTTCCTATTTAAAGTTTGCCAGTTCTGTTTGTTTTTGTAATTTATTTACCTTTCAACATGTTTCTCAAAAAAAACCCCAAAAACGACTGAATCATGCAAACAAAAATTATGAACAATTATAAAATAAGAAAAGTACTGAAAATTTTATGAATATCAATAAATAACTGATGATTTAAAAAAAAAAAAATCGAGGTTTTCATACAAAAATCTTTCTAATGTAAATTATTACCACTTTTATACTTTGCTTAATAGGCAAACAGTTTAATCATTTTCCCGCAATGCCATTTCTTTCTGCAGTACCAGTTGCCATAGAACTGTCTTGCTAAGCAGCGGGTGAGAAGAAGAGGATTCATTTTCCCCATTGAACATTTGATCGTGGAATTCCGAAATCAGCTGATTCCTCAATCCGATTTTGGTTTAGCAAATATCTCCATACAAATACGCAAATTTTTTAATTAATTTCATTTCTACTTACTGAAGGTACAAAGGTTCTGTGCAATTTATAATCAGTTTGTTGAAAATTTCCATTTTCTCAATAACTCCACAACGGTTTTCCGCAAACTTTACTTTATTTTCTTCAAATTTACACCTAAATCTTAGAAATTTTCATTACAATTTGAGCGCATAATCGAATAAAGTTTACTTTATACAAATTTTTTCCCCTCGGCTGTCGGAAAATTTTAAGAACGTGAGATTCAAAAATTAAAAACGCAATTTACAGTTCACCTTTGCTTCTTTAATCTTCTTTATTAAAATTAAAAGTCTACAACGAGAATCGATAATTAAATTGTAAAAAGCCGGTTTGTGATTAATAAAAATTCTATATTTGCTGAGTTTAAAGAAACGTTTTGACAGAAATTCCTTTAGTTTTGATTTAAAAACTTTTAATTTATAAACCACGCAGCAAGAATAATTTCAAAACAGTACCAAAAAAATTTAAAAACATAAAATACACAAACACACACACACACACACACACATTTTATATTTAAAATTTTCAAATTAATTATATTTGCTCTTGTATTGAGTTGAATTAATTTTGCGATTTAATACACCAATCCTAACTTATATATATATATTATATATATATATATTAACATAAACGAAAAACTAGGTTCAGTATCAGGTAGAAAATAAAAAAAATATAAATTCAGAAAAATGAAAAAAAACAACAAAAACGTAAGACTGAAAGAATTACTATCCCACGCATATCGAGAAATGACATTATTTTTCTTCAGGGTTCTTTTTCTTCTTTATTAATTCATTCTAAAATAAAAAGTACTTAATTTATATTTATTAGAATGCACACCAAAATTGTGAAATGTCCTTTAAGATTTGTTCGAACATGCGCTAATCATTATTTTTTGCCTTGCGTCTCCAAAGGAAGTCATGCAAACAAAAAGACTAGTCTATCATGTCGCGATGATCCCCAAATAAGAACTTTAATCATTTTGGCATGCCTACAGGTACTTTTGATTGTTTGCGTGTGAGCTGATGTTTTTGGTTTAGCGAAATTCATACTGGGATTTACAGTTTGTTGAATATTATTTGGATTATTCTTCAAATTCCAACAATCCGACATAATCGAAGTCCCAGATAAAATACAACTTCGGATTGTGTCGAATAATGTAGAGGTTGTTCTATCTGGGAACTTATGGCAAGTTTTGATTTAAAATTTATAATTTCAAAACAGTACCAAAAAATTTAATAAAAACCAAACAAATTTTCATTTAAAATTTATTATTCCTTGGGTTGAATTAATATTTGCGATAAGTAACTTTACATTTTGGGGGTTGTATTAACAGAAACGACCCTTCTTCAGTATCAGGTAGAAAAATAAAAAAAAATATAAGAAAAATGAAAAAAAACAACAAAAACGTAAGACTGAAAGAATTACTATCCCACGCATATCGAGAAATGACATTATTTCACTTTGTTTTCTTCTTAAAATGAAAGAGAGGCTACTCTCGTCGTGTTAAATTGAAGTTAAGTAACAATATATGCGGTTGTAATTATGATATACAGTCAGCCAAAACAAGTTATTCTTTCATTTTATATTTTATTTAACCACTTATCTTGACAGGTTCAATCTCTTTCCATTCCTTTTTTGATGTCCAAAACAGGAATTTTAAAAATCTGTGATCTCCAACGTAAAACGAACTTGATTAAATTTCTATGTTCGGAATTAAATTACCTTTTATTTTCTCTCTTTCTATCTATTTTTACTCATCTATCTATCTATCTATCTATCTATCTATCTATCTATCTACTTCAATCTGATCATATCTATCTGTCTATCTATTTCATTCTGGTCATTATCAAGACGGGGGAGTCCATCCTACATAAAACAGGGAGTTACTTTTCAGTCACTCTGTACATCAACACAACTGTCTGCCTTCTAATCACTATCTCTTTCAAATATATTTTGTGGTGTAACATATGATAGGGGTAGGCTAGATTAAAAAGGGGTAGTCCTCTCCTTATATGCGGATATTATGTTCGGAGACTTCTGCAGATTCCTCAAATAGTAGCAAACTGAATATATAGTAATATAGTAAACCCTTTTCTTACCCAATCGTGTGGGATATATTTCGCCGCCTCAGTGGTTGCCTGAAATCGTTGACAGTGTCGGAATTTTTTTCTATATATATGTTTAAAGTTTAATTCATAAATTAAGCGTAATAAGATATTATTACCAGTGTTAATAAAAAATTGAGAGAGAATCAATTATAATGGTTTTCTTTTATTTTGTAATAAAAGTTTTGTGACGGATTATAAAAATTATTTTAATAAAAAAAAAAACAACATAATATTAAAATTGCATGAGAAAAAAATAATTAAAATTTCGAATTGTGTAAATATTAAATATAGAAATTATTTTGATAATTAAATTGTATGAAAAATTTATTGAAAAAACTGTTACTAACATGGCTGCTTTTCAAAGAAATTGCCTAACGGTTTACACACACACACACACACACACACACACACACACACACACACACACACATATATATATATATGTAAAAATATAACAAAATAAAATGTGGCTCCTAATTGATATTATAAAAAACTCGACAAAATTAAGCCAGGCAGTTTAAACTTTCTGTGGCAAAATCCCCCGGGATGGGCTTAGCTTTTGCTATTGTCAAAAACCATCCAACTTTGAATTGAAAAAGGGCGTGGTTTGATCGGATAATGACTCTTGAATTTTTAACCTATGGTGATAAAAAGTGCCCTCTTCCCCACCCAAGGAGATCGTTTTCGCGCTAATTTTGATTGTGTGTTTGCTATACAAGAGGGTAAATTTTGACTGCAAATTTTGAAAGTAAAAAAACATCCGGGCAATTAGAAGTTGTAATCTGCACAGACAGATCTGAGCGTCTCAGCGTGTAAAATCAATTGCTTCTGCTTAGAAAAGAAATAAACCAAACAGGTGAGAAAGCTGTGAGCTGTGATGATAAAAGTTTACTATACTAATGTTGCTGTTGAAGAAGAAAAATGAAAAAAGAATTTTCTAATTTTAATATGCGAATGTCTTTTCGAAACTTAATTTATCTCATTCGAATGTCTTTTATTAACTTGTGAGAGTATATCTCGAATTTGAGAACACCCCGTCCAAAAATGTGAATATTTGTCAAAAGGACCCACAAAAGTAGCTTCGTCTGGTCAATCTTTCTCACTTCGAATTTCATTTTTCGACCTTAGAACTTTTGTCATTTTGAATTGTGAACTTTTCGAAGGATGTAAGTTTCTGTTGCTCTAAAAGAAAGTTGATGAAATTACATTAAAAAGATTTGTTTTACAATACTAAAAAAAAAACTTTTGTTTTAGAGAAAACAGATTTGTATGTTGAAATAACCTGCCTTGATGGCTTAAAGTGCAAAAAGGAATTTTTGTGCAAGGTCTATATTTTTTTGTAGAATTTGTATATTGTGAAATAATATTTTCTCATTTTAATAAACATTTGATTTTTCTCTGCAAATTTCACATAACGTAAGAGTGCATGTGTCTTTTTCGTCAGTTCTTCTAAAAGTATTTGCAAAGGGACAAATAAGAGATTTAAAATCCTTATTTGCACACACGCAACCATTTTTTTTCTTTTTAGGACATAAGATTCGTTCTTGCCGTAGGTCATATTAGGTACAATAAAAGGTTAAAAACAATGACTAATAATAAAATATAGCAATCAAATATAATAATATACTGTAATAAAAGCTTAATTACAGTACATCGTTATATCATAAAAGTTATGTGACGAATAGAAAATTCGTTCTTACCGTAGATCTTATTAGACATAAGAGATTAACAACAACTAATAATAAAATAGAAGCATTATTTATAACAATAAAAGTTATGTGACGAATAGAACATTCGTTCCTACCGTAGATCTTATTAGGCACCAGAAGAGATTGACAACAATAACTAATAATAAAATAGAAGCATTATAACAATAAAAGTTATGTGACAGACATTCGTTCTTACAATTTTAAACAATAAGAGATTAACAACAATAACTAATAATAAAATAGAAGCATTATAACAATAGACTGTAATAAAGTTCTTGACAGACAGAAGATTCGTTCTTATTTTTATTAGGCACAATAAGAGATTAACAACAATAACTAATAATAAAATAGAAGCATTATAACAATAGACTGTAATAAAAGTTATGTGACAGACAGAAGATTCGTTCTTACCGTAGATTTTATTAGGCACAATAAGAGATTAACAACAATAACTAATAATAAAATAGAAGCATTATAACAATAGACTGTAATAAAAGTTATGTGACGGAAAGAAGATTCGTTCTTATTGTAGATCATACACAATAAGAGATTAACAACAACAACTAATAATAATAATAAAATAGAACAGTTAATGTAATAAAAAGAGTTATATGGTGGATAAAAGATCGTTTCTTACCGTAACCTCAGTGTTACAATATTTTTATCTTCTTGTTAAGTCAAGAACTTTCTTCTTTTCGTTTAAATGAAGCAACGGTTTCTCTTTGAGATTTCCAAGTAGCCAGTCTCACTACTCTTTCACTTTGGGTAGCAAGTAGAAGAATTGTTTTTTTTTTTTTTTTCTGGGGGCTCACAGCGTGAAACTGAAACCAACAATGCAAAACCGCGGACAACAAGGGTAAAGTATATCAAGGGCATCCATTCACTCTATGTTTGCTTTACACACATATAAGCGACACAGTAAATTTCTGAGAATTTGAAACAACGAACAATGAAAAAATGAAACAAAATTCAGGGTCAAGTACAGTTGAACCATGCATAAGGTAGACAAACCTTCGTCTTTTTTGTTATTAACGTTTACTAAATTTTACCGTTATTCCAGCAGCACATTGACAAGCAAGAGGAAAGAGAGTCAGAATATGGGGTGGGGATTTCTAGCAGAAATAGACAGTTCCACCGAAAGAAGGGGTAACAAGGTCAAGTGCTCATGCATCCACAAGGATAAATACAAAAATAAAATTAATATCGGAGATGATTTTTTTTACAATGATGTTCATCCTATACAAAGCCTGAGCGCCACTCGATATAGAGGATTATTGAGTAAGAGGCACAGTTTATGCGACTATGTGGGGAAGATAACCCTAAACCTGGACAGGTTAATTGATTCGGGAAGCATCCTCTTGGGAGTCGGTTCCACAGATCAGCGGTTCGCGAAGAAGCTGCTCGAGTGGAGCTTAGGTCTCATCAATGGAATATGAAGAGAATGAGGGTGGTTTGCTACAATGGGCGTGGCATGGTGGGTCTTAGCCGTGGAGGTAAGAACAGACAAAACAAAGCATTTTTTATGGAAATAGCGATAGAGAAGCGAGTGACTTGCGATGTTTTGTCTGTGGGAAAGGGATTGTCGACTGGGAAATAATTCATCACCCACAAGGACGCTGTGAAATACACGTCGCTTTGTTGTCAAAGAAAAAACAAAACAAAATACAATATCCTAATGTGTTCTATACACAAACGAAAGGGTTGATCAGTTCCAGGAATATTTTGAGATACGTTGTCAGGAGATTAACTTTTTACCGTTTTGTTAAAAAAAAGAAGAAAAGAATTAAAAGAAAACCAAAGGAACAAAAGAAAACGCTTTTAGTACGCTCTTAATAATTAAGAAAAAGCAAAAATTGTTTGAAAATATAGCCAGCGTCCGACAGGGTTGTATTGAAACCGCATAACTTTTATTTTAATAAAAATAATGCAAGAGCGTGTTCTCAGGCGTAATAGCGGTTTTGAAGTTTTATTTTGCGGTAATTTTAGTGATAAAATGGCATTGATTAAGATAAGAAGATAGATGATAGAGGCACTTGAAGAATCTGAGAAAACTTCGTAAACTGAAAATAGACGAAGGCTGTATAAGTGTGTTCTTTCTTTCTTTCTTTCTTTCTTTCTTCTTTCTATCTATCTATCTATCTATCTATCTCTTCATATCCATCCTATCTATCTATCTATCTTCTATCTATCCATCTATCTCAGTCTATCTTATATCTATCTATCTATCTATCCATCTTTATATCTATCTATCTATCTATCCATCTATCTCAATCTCTTCATATCCATCCATCTATCTATCTACCTACCCATCTATCTCTCAATCTGTTCATATCATCTATCTATCTATCTATCCATTCATTCATCTATCTCATCTATCTATCTCAATCTGTCCATCCATCCATCTATCTATCTATCTATCTATTCATCTATCTATCCATCAATCTGTTCATATCATCTATCTATCTATCTATCTATCTATCTATCTATCTCAATCTGTTCATATCTATCTATCTATCTATCTATCTATCTATCTATCTAATCTGTTCATCTATCTCATCTCTCTTCTATCTATCTATCTCTGTTCATATCTATCTATCTATCTATCTATCTATCTATCTATCTATCTATCTATCTCAGTCTAATCATATCTTGGCAGGCTTACAGCCATATTACGTTGAAACATTGTTTCTAGTACGATCACTGAAGTTAAGCAACATTGTTAAGTACCGAAATGAGTGACTACTTGGGAATATCAGATGTTGTAATCTTGAATGAGTGGTGGTCTAATAGATAAACACATATGTACACACAATATAAACATTCGCAAACACATATTCACGCGTACACACAAACAAACACGTATACATACAGAGAATCAAACGTAAACACACACTCACATGCATATGTACAGAAAAATACAAACACACATTCGCATATTATACATACACATAACACACACACACACGCACAATCGCGCATGTCATACTACAGATAAGTCACGTTTAAATGCCGGTGTTCGTACGGTCACCGAATTTAAGCAACGTCGAGCCTGATAAGTACCTAAATAGGTGACCGCTTGTGAAAACCAGGAGTTTGGGTCTGCTTGTAGTGTATAAAGGCTCGGAATTAGAAATCGGAGAACCGAGTTCGAATTTTAATTGGGTTCGGTATAGTCACAAACGCGCAAATAGACTTGGGAAAGGTATGAAACCCCATCTTCTCCCTCGAGCTATGGGTTAATTAATAGGACTTGTATCAGTAAATCATTATTATCCAAAGAACATTTTTTTACAATCTAAAATTATTTTCTGGCTTTACATAACCTGCAAAAGGTTGATAAGCCGTAAAAACAAATCATTCAATCAACTAACAGAAGTATCTTGTCATTAATGAAACATATATAACAGAATGGTTGCTGCCGATATACACAACTATGTATTCAGAATCTGATAGACAAACATAAGCGAGAAACACGAATTAGTATTATACTTAACACAAGGAAGAAGCAAATGAAATTTCTAGGACACGTAATGAGAAAGGAGGGCCTGGAGAATCTGATACTCACAGGTCGAATAGAGGGGGAAAAGAGATAAGGGAAAGCAATACATGACATACCTAGCGGGCTTGGGTTGGTGGATTGCAGAACGTCATCTGGAGGAGTTGGCAGAAACGCAAAACCTACTGAGAGCCACAATGGATAGGGGGAAGCGGAGAGTCATGATTGTCTACGGCCTGAAAGGACACGGCACATAAAAAGAAAAAGACTCCGAGGCGCGTGTTATAACAGGGTTGTCTCTCTCCTAGATGAATATCTTTTAGGGTTCATTGTTTCCAGTGGGCTAATCGCGCGCTTGGACACTAGTACCAAATATTTCTACGTCCCCGCGAATGTATATTTTCTAACATGTATGTATATAAACGGTGTGGATATAGAAACGCTTTAAGGTGCCTAAGTGCACGGTAATGATTAAACAAGCTAATCTAATTGAGTATTATTACTGAGTTGTGTATTCGACCCACACTATGTGTCCTATGCAGAATTCAGCATTAAATAACAAGGGTTGACGTGTAAAGTCAACCAAAGTCTCCATCCATAGAACACACACACTCACACACGCGCGCGCGCACACACACACACACATATATATATATATATATATGTATTTCAATAAAGGTGCAATTAATTTACAAATTCATGAATTATTCATACAAAAACAAATACAAAGGTTAATGATTTAATTGGCGAGAAATCCATCGTCGCAAACAATTCAAATAATATACAAAAACCCCGAACCTGTTATGAATGAAAAAATCCTTGTTTTTATAAATTTCTGTTGCATTAGTTCTTATTTTGCTACAAGCTTTCGTCTGTTCCTACAGACATCTTCAGGCATGGAATAGATGTTGTTCCAATTAAATCATTAACCTTTGTATTTGTTTTTGTATATATATATATATATATATATATATATATATATATATATATATATATATGAGTCTGCAATATGGATTGGCCAGCCGCCCTAGTAGCCTGGTTTCCCCGAATACGAGTGACCAGCTATTATATATATATATAATATATATATATATACACACACACACACATATGTATATACACATATATGTTCACACACACACATATATATGTATAGGGTCACAAACTCACATCAATCTAATTAAACACACACACACTCACACACACACACACATATATATTCTGTATCTTCTCTATAATTCTTAGTTTATGTCGATATTATATTTCCAGCTTTTTTGCATCGAATTAAAGGCAAATTCTTATCTCATTTTCAAAATGGCCGGAAAGGAAGATATTCCTATCGCCTTTTCTGAAATGTATCCAAATAAATATATAAACCTTTTTACTTTCAATCCATTCTGAAAGATTGGATGAGGATGTGCCGTTAATTCAATACAAAAAAGCTGGAAATATATATTAACAAATTTCGGCATGAACTAAGAATTATATATGTATATAGTATATGTAAGATAATAAGTATTTGACAATATACTTGATTTTGTCGTATTGAATTGGTCAGATCTGTGTGGAATTAAAAAAAAAATTAAAAAGAAGAAAGTTTAATTATAAGAAAAGCAACAACAATAACAAAAGATGCATTACAATAATTTTCCAACCCTGTAGAAATTCTAGAACATTATATATAGGTATTATATTTACTTACCAAAAGTCTGTTAAAATATCTCCTGAGACTTCTTTTTAACAAATATTTGTATCAGAATCAACTTTTCTTTTTTGGTTCTTGAAATTTTTTTCTTCTCTTTAAATTCTTTTCCTTTTCTTAATTTGCTGCGTATACGAAAAAAATATCTGTTTAGGCGTGAGATTATATAAAAACTGCAGATTGCAGTCTGTTTCTCTGTATTTATATGGCAAAGTAAGTAAGTCACGTGATCAACAACACAAAACATTGTACTAGAAATCTAAAAATAAATTCGGGGATGTCCCATCTGAAATGTTTTGTTTGGCATGATGTAAAATAAAACTATTTTTCATCGTTACTCCAGAGGTATTTCACCTTTTAAATGAAATTTCGTTATTGCAAAGACGTTGCGTGTTTTTTTTAATTTTTATTTTTTATTTTTTTTCTAAAAAAAGACAAAACAAAAAAACAAATACTTGGCTACGTGTTTAAAAATGTACAAGTATAATTTAATTACTAATGAGATGGTAAATTCCTTTTAAAATTAATAAAAAGAATTTTTTCTCTAAATAAACATGAATTTGAAAAAAAAAAATACATTCGATTTTTTTTATTATTTAGTCAGATTTATTATTTTATTATTTAGTCAGATTTATTATTTTGTTATATAGTCAGATTTATTATTTTGTTATTTAGTCAGATTTATTATTTTGTTATTTAGTCAGATTTATTATTTTGTTGTTTAGTCAGATTTATTATTTAGTTATTTAATCAGATTTATTATTTTGTTATTTAGTCAAATTTAAGAAATTAGGTCATATAAGTTCATTACCTTGTACGCATTGACCTTTTACACTTTGGTGATTTAGATGGTTAATTAGGTAAGATGCTCGGAATTTACCCGGATTTATGAAACAAAAAAAAAAAAAAAATTACCAATACGACGAAAGCAAGATGATCTCATTTCAAATTTAAATTGGACAATTCATGCCCCACCCCTGACAAAAAAACCGGTGTTTCAAAATGACGGTTATTCCATTGACACCGTTATTACTGTATACATTTTTGACTCCCTCAGCAATATTTTTTGCTTTAAAAAATGATGATTAGAATTTTAATAAAACCGAAACATAAGAATGCGGATTTCCTCATTCGGTGCCCCATACTCTTGGCCTTGTGCCACATCTAAGTTACGCTTAAAAATCACCACATGAATTTGGATTTATTAATTTTCTTTTCTTTATACTTGAGAATTCACACCATATTTAAGCACTATTTATTTATTAGATTGAATATAAAAAATATTTTTTTTGCACTTCGACTGCATATAATGGCTTTGCACTTCGACTGCATATAATGGCTAACAATCTTGACTAGATCAATTTCGATTCAGTAGTGAGTTTGTTCCTTGTTGAGTGCTCCATACTTTCAGCCTTGTGCCACATCTAAGCCGCGCTTAGTAAATTATTATAAAACTTATTTTCATAGTTATTTACAAAATGATAAATAATAAATATTACATTGTAGTTATTATAGTTTACATATTTTGTAATTTAAAAAAAAAATTGATAAAAATATTTCTTTTCAAATTTATTTCTTTGTGAAATGTTAAGAAATAAATCTTTATAAAAGGTAAATAATAGATATCGTATTAGTCAAAAGTGTATACAGTAATAGCGGTGTCAAGGGAATAACCCTCCTTTTTACACAGCGTTTTTTTTTTCTGACACGAAGTTTAAACGGTGCCCTAAATTTGTTGTTCATTTAAAATACTACATAAAATTGACTTCAGAGGACTGAAGTATACCATTTTCCTGTGTTCCACGGATTGTTGGCAAACAGAAAGGGAAATTAGTCTTCTCACAGTACATATTTCCATTTCAATTTCATTCAAATTGTGTGTCTGTACGTTTACATGTGTGTATATATTATTAGATAAATGACAACCCTACAAATACTTCTACGAAATAAAAAAAAAATCTCTTCATCTTTATAATGTCAGTGTGTCACTGTGTGACATCATTTCAACTTTACTCTTAAAAGCCGTAGCCCAACACATCCTACCATTTTGGAATCAGGCCGACTCTTGAACAAATTAAACATTCCGAATTGGATCAGGAGCAGCAATCCTGAAATTTTTTATTCCCAAATTTTCATTACTGCGATTATTTTCGGCGATTTTTACGTAAGTTTTTGCGACAAATGTTTTTGTACGATAACAATTTTTATAATCTGGAAAAAAGAGTGAAACCCAGAGTCACAAACTCATATCCATTCTACTAAATATATTAGCTCTATCATTGATATTGAGCGCTTTCCAATAAGCATAGCATATATATAAAATATAAATAGAATATATATATATATATATATATATATATATATATATATATATATATATATATAGGGGGTATTATGGAATGGTTAAATTCAACAATTATTTAATATATTATCTGTTTATACGT